AAACAGACGTGATGTCAATAATGTGTCACAATGCATTTCAGGAACTGAAATAGAGAGGAAGCATGTATGCATGCAGCAAAAAGACATAAATGAGCATAAAAGAGAAGCAGACTCACTCCAATGATGAAGATGCAACTTCCTGAATGCATCAAAACAAATTGCAACCATTGAGATGATTGCAGTGTACAGTGAGGACTGACTGGACCACACCACCAATCCTAAGTCTATTGTTCAAAGTTGTTGTCATAAAAGTTTGTTTTTTTTATGAGATCGTTTTTGATATTTGCAGCTGACAACTGATGATGTCACTTGTATGTCACCCAAGACAGACATAACTGGTAACTAAAAGAAGAGCATGAATGGCAAGCATTAATGGTGCTGCCTTTACTGACCGTAAAGTCACTGTACTAGTTTAGTGTCTGACAAACAGGCAGTAACAACAACAGCTCGAAGTGAAGCCAATTTAGAAGTACCGTAAAGTGGATACCAGCGAGGGTTTGTAGGTGTCTCAAAACAAATGCCTCCAATACACTACCATTCAAAAAGTATCAACTTGTCTCATGAAATACTAACTCAATTAATTGTTTCTACAATGCAATATGATATCATTAGCTAAATTCACATCTTATGATCAGCGTGCTGGTGGTCATTTTGAAAATAATTTTAAAAAATAGGTAAATATCCTCAAAGTGAGGTATGTTTAAGTGACTGGTTTGCTAGACTAGTCTGATGTGAGCTGTTACAATAAATCAAGAGTCATTTACTGGTCAACTTCACTGGTTCATTGTTTTGATTGTGTTTTATTGTCGTCATTTGTCAGCAGACAAGGCAATACATTTCCCAGCTTTGTTGTTCATGAGGTCATTTTAATCAATTTTTACTTCACTGTAATTATGGCTTGTTCTTCGCTTAATTAACACACCTTCAAGGGATTGTGATGTCCATGTAATTTTGTTTTTTTTTCTAAGTGAATGTTTATTTTCTTAATGGTTTCAAATTTTAATGCACTTCATATGCAATTTTAATGTTAACTAGAATGTGCACAATGTACTTTGCCCATTAGCAAACCTACCAATGACGCTGAACGCATCAGTCAAATTTCAAGTGTCACTGCCCCTCGTCTAACGCACCTCTCCATTTTGGAAGGTCCTCGCTCCAATTAAAAAAAGACCAGAAAGTCGTTCTCAAAGTTTCGATTTGGCTCCAGTGAAGCCACTTAGTGATGTCATTGTTTGCTACATCCATGTTTATATGTAGTCTGTGGACAAAGGATAAAGCTGCATTCATACAGGGTTTTATCCAAAGACTAAATCTGGCCTCTCATTTAGTAACTGGGATTCACTGTATTTTCCACAGACACGTCCACATGTGGAGCATAAGTGGAGCTGGGGATGAAACTGCCAACACTATGATTAGTGAACAACCTGAGCCAGTGCTGTAAAAACAACACTTTAGCCTCAGCTGTAAGGTTTATGCTCCTTCCTAACTGTCAGTGGCAAAAAATCGCAATCTTTATATGGGTCTTGATATATTTCGGGCTAGTCCCAACTTTAGTTTCAAAACAGAGGAAGTTCTAATTAGTTTTAATATTGGAGGAAAGTCGAAATTAAAAAAAAAAAGAAGAAAGAAACAGACAAGCTGATAAAAAAAAATACATGAACCAACTGACTGTTTCGGGGGACTATGTAAGATGAGAAAACTATATTATATGTGCATGTACAATACAGGACAATACAGGAAATACACATACTGTCTGGGAACATGTAAGTGGGATATTTGCGGATAATCAAGAAGGACCAAATAAACTCTTGAGGTCAAATTTACTTAAAAAATATACTGAGAAGAAAATGCTGCGTGCTGTACCTGAATGCCTCGTCAGGAAAAGCTTCAACTGTTTATGCCAATAGGTTACCATCACTGAGAGACACAAAGCTGTTTGTTGCTATTTCTACTTCATGTCTGTTTTATTACACATGGCTTATTATGAATTCATTTAACTTCAAATCGGGTCACAATTATAATTTTTTATCTCTTCAATTAATTTCCTATTGGTCTTACTTTTAAAACATCAGAGCACAGTGAAAAATCCCACAATTAACAAGGTGACATATTTTCTGATGAATGCAGCTGGCAATACTATAAAACATAATAGAACTTGAACAAAAGCAACACATGAAGCCTGTTTGGCATTATATATGCATGCATGTTGTGCACATGAAATCATCATTTCCATTTACCATCTAAACATCCCCAGCTGTCACTAATGGAAAGGCAAACAGGCCACTTTTTTTTTTTTTTTTAAATGTGAATGAAGAGACATAGCGAGGCTGAGCTAAATCACCCTGCCTTCTGCTTATTACCATCCTTTTCCTACTTCTCTCCTTTCAATGCACATCGAGCCAAACTAAATAGCCTGATGTCTTTTCACACATATGCTAATACTAAATAATCCTGCCAGTATCAGGGGCCGGGTAATTGGGTTGCCTCTTCTCTCGCCTCATTTGAGTCCATTTGCTGACAGGATTACAGGCTATTATCCCTCAGGATCCCTTAGGATCTCCTTAGGCCTTCAGATAGCCAAAACACACAAACAAACGGTGTGTGTGTGTGTGTGTGTGTGTGTGTGTGTGTGTGTGTGTGTTGTCTGCCTGAACCCGGACTGTCATAGCACAGCTGTGTCATTTCAAGTTATCATCATCTTCTATCATTATTGCTTTCTCTAAGGATGCTTCAACCTAAGTACAGCACACGCCCCGATCCGCAGCACAAATAGTCCAAGACTTCTGTCCTCCGAAAGCCTCTCAAAGGCTGAGAAAGCTTTTCCGTGAATGGACGGTCGATCGGAGCGAGGGAGGAGGAGGTGTGCATGTTTCTGGCAGGTAAGGGCCAGCATGTCTGGCTGGAATTAAGAATACTTCAAGTTCAATGAGTTGGTCACCAAAGGATGTGACATCATCTTCAATGAGTCAAAGCAACTCTCCACGTCGCAAACGCCCAATTAGGCAAATCCAATGTGATTAAAGGGTCAGTTCACCCAATTTAGAAAACATACACAGATGAGCGAGAAGTGCAACCACTCACAGATGAAGAGAGTAACACTACCTCATAACAACAGCACACATCAAGGTCGAGGACATATTAGACAGTACATGAACAGTTCTTGTGGTCAGTGTGTTGGAAGCAGGAGTGAAAGGGCTAAGCAAATCTGACTAAATTATAATGTGCAGATGACTGGGGTTGGGTATCACAAACCAGTTCAAACTTAGAACCGGTTCAACGTTCCAGTTTCACTCTAGAGGAGTCATTAAAAAAGTGTTATTTAGTTTTGCTTATCAGTTCCTGAACAAAGTTTAGTAGCTGATCAGTGTACTGCAAACACCTACCATAAATCTACTGCAATCTATCTGCGACATTAGTCTTTCAAGCTGAATACATGCATGTCTTCCTGTCTCCTAATGCATTTGCTGTAATAAATCATGAGTCTCGCAATATTCTCAGTTAACCTTTGTTTAGCAGCTTGATTATCAGGTGAAAAGCGCAAATGTTGTGACTGTCTCATACCCTAACTTAGCAAATGTTCTGCTACTCTATCGTTGTAGTAAAATAGGCCAGATTAACCTTGAAAAAAGGAAGAAAAAAACTGAAAAGAACACCACTGCAACAGTTGCAGTTATTTTATCAAGCCCTGTGTTTCTGCTGCTGATATTCATCCGTGGTAAGCAGTGGTTGTCACAGCAGTGTTTACAATTGTTTTTTTCTCACACACCAGAGGAGACTCACTTAACACAACAATCTACCGGTGGAGGTCAACACCTTCCACAGCATTCACATAGTAACTATAATAATTTACATAATATTAAGTGTTTGTTGACTTAGACAGAAAGAATGGTGGTGGAGGTACTATGTCCCAAGGTTCTTTTAGTTAAAGTATAAATACCACACTATAAAAGTCTTGCATTCAAAATATTAAAGCATAAGAATGTAAGTATAATCAGGAACTTGTACTATAGTATTGAAAGTACACAAAGCAGAGAGTGTCTCATGTGACTGTTATGCTATAACACTGCATGTCTATCATAGATAACGTGCATTAAACAATACTGTAAAGGAGGGATTACACTGTTGTAGTAACGCATACTGCCTGCAACTCAAATCAAGAATTGTTAAAACCTGTAATCAGCGCCACCAAGCACAGATTGTTGTGAGGGTTTAACTGGTAAGGGGCCACCGTGACAAAGTTTTCTGTGACACTTAATGACCTCTGTCAGTGCACATGTTGATTTAACAATATCCATCCACATTATCCAAGTGGCACATGTAACAGCCACTTATGCAGCTTTTATTCCGCGTCCATGGCTTCAAACAGCATCATAAGCTCAGGACAAATATCAAGTGTGTTTAAGATGCAATACCATTTAATCAATTGTTGATTGATAATGCTGCATTTATTTAGACTTAGACTCAGACTTTAGAAAATTATTCAAATTTATGACACCTGTGTGACACTAGATGTGCAAAAAGGGACTAGGCTTAGATCCATTAAAAGCCTGGTAAAAACTAGTTTTTGGTTATTGCCTATATTTCCTTGTTCTTATCAGCAACTAATGATGACATGTAAATATCATCATGCATCCTTACTGTAGAAAATCACAAAGTATTTGAATTTATGTAACCTACGCAAATAAGGGAAAACGTGGGCATAAGTTGGTGATTTACTGCTTTTTATTTGGAAAATGCAAAATAAGTGTATTTTGCCTCTTTAAAGATGTAACAGTAGTTTTGCTTTTATGCATTCAAACATAATGTAGAAAAAGTCGCTGTCATGTTATTTCATTATTCTAAATATTTATCAATCTATCAAGTGTTTGTAAGATTCATTTAAATTTAATTAAACATCCCAAAACCATGTTAACTGACTAACATTTGCACTCATAAATTCACATTAACTCGTATCTATATGAGATTATACATAAACACACATACACTATACGTGAACTCACCCTCTTGCTGGTGGTTAAGGATCATGTTCTTCAGGGTATTGCAGTCCACTGTGGGAAGACCGTTGTCAGTGTAGGCAGATGGACGATAGTTGACATCTGATCTGGACCGGCTGTGTCCCTTCTTAAAGGCCGAGTTGGACGAGGAGCTGGCGGTGTTGTTGGTGCACTCCTTGCTATGTGCTGCCAGGTCGTTGGTGGATCGCGCTCGGCTTCTCTTGCCGTGTCTTAAGCCCATCCCCAGGCCCAAAACACTGAAGTTGTCGGCCCACGCCAGGCCCAGAGGCCCCACTTCCGGCTGCTCTCCAGCCAGCAGGCTCCAAACACCGCTGGAGCTCAGCTTCCCCAGCGCAGCACTGGACACCTCCTGCAGCTGCTTCGGTTGCCTGGGAGGCTGGAGGCTGGAGGTTCCTTGGCTCGGACCTTGGCCTTGCATCCTATCCATGCAGTGGATGAAGTCCTCTGTGGCCTCCAGAGCTGGGCTGATATCGCCCACCATGTCAAGCTGCTCAAGACCCTCCATCGCTGTACCAGGAGCCGAGTTGGAAATTTTACAATTTGACTATTTTCCAAAATGGGTGCAAAAACCCTGTCAGCAGCATCCACATGTCAACAAACAAAACTAGCTGTCAGCTGGACAAAGGAGGTCCTTTTGGTATGCTGACAAGCTAGGAAGAGAACATCCAAGCAGTCTGCAAGCTTCCCAAACTGCCGTCTGAAGCCAAGTCCTGTTCTCTACCTCGAGACAAGGCCTTCATCCAGTCTCCGAGTCTTCCTTTTCAATGATGTTCCTCTGTGTCTGGAGGGAGCTACCGCAGCTTCATGCCAGAGCTTAACAGGACTGGCAGTCGCCTGGGACTCTCCAGTACAATCCAATTCGGGTGGCAAACTATGTTACGGAGCCAGATAAACTCACTATGAGCAGGAAAAAACAGTAAAATCCTTCTACTCAGGAGCATCAGCTTTATGATTTGTAGTCTTTCAGCCAACCAGCTGGCTGTAAGGTCATCGGATGGAGGCTGTTTGTGGTTTTACTGTAACAAAAGGGAAGAAAAAAGGAGGAAATAGTCAAGAGGAAGCATGTGAAACAAGCACAACAAATGGAAACACAGCTGGCAGACAGAGCACTGTGATTAATTTACACATGAATCGACCTCATCCCCGGTGCTTTAGAAAAAGTTAATATAGCCTTTTTAAAGACAAAGGCTAGATACTGCAGCCTCCACTTTAACTTCAAGCATCAAACTACCTACCCACCTACAGCGTCTTCATCCCACTCAAACAGAAGCCTCACAGATTCCTCCTCAGCAAAAAAGAGATCATCCTCCCTCACATGTTCTCATGAAATAATACTTGACTTCCTCGTCGGCTGCTTATCACTGAGCTGAGCAGACAGAGAGGAAGTAGGCCTGGGTGGGGTTCCCATCCATCTGACTGACTGTCTGTCTGTCTCTTCTGATCCTTTCCATTCCTCTGTCTCTCTCTCCATATATATACACACACACACACATCTTTCTTTCTCATTTGTGCCCTCTCACATGCATTGATTTTCTCCTCCTCCACAGCTGAGCCTCTTTTACTTTTCTCTACATATGAATTATTTAATGACCATTACAACATAGTGATTCAGTTTCCAGCAGCGATATATGCTGAATATTTACGATTTTATTTGTGATTATTTGTTGGAAGTACAGAGGAAGACGTTATCCTAGCTAGTACAGTGACTCTTTTCCTTACGGGTTTTATTTGGGGATTTATTTGGTGTGTACACAAGTAAAACCGTACAGTCCACTGTTGCAGAGCATCAAGACATTTAGTGCAGGTAGTAAACAATACCAATATTACACAGAAACTGCTGACCTCAGCTGTTTTTTTATTATTACTATTATTTATTTTCAAAATTTCAAAGAATCAACCTTAATAAAAAGTCACTACTTGAAATGTATGTTCCTTGTAACTTCATCAGATGAAAAGGGAAATTCTATGATTAAATGACATGTTGTTGGTGGCACAGTTTATGTGTTTGTGCATCACAACAATAAAGGGGCCAGAAAACGTCATCAATAAACTGGAGTCCAATATTTCAAATATTTCTACATAGTCTGTTCAGTACTGCTTGTTCCACACCAGATTATAACGTATTAGTTCCACTGCAGTACTGCTCACTAGCACTGACCAGTTTACGAGCCTTTTTCCCCCCACCAGGTATGATCGCATCCCAGCATATTTACCATGACATCATCTGCCTGCAGATACAGCTCTGACCTGACTGTGCGTCGTCATCACGGTTAGTTACTCATCGAGCTTCCCACTGAACTGCTGTTGACTCACACATGCTGTTGAGTCCGCACAGCCAACTCACGCAGGAAAGCACAGACTAGAGTACTTTTGATTAGTGATAAAATAAAATTCAAGAACAAAGCATAAGGAGATTCTTTCTGAAAGGATGACTTTTGTATGCATATGAATAAATATATCTACAGGTACGACTACACTCAGGCCGGTGTACTTGCTCTGGAAACAAACCCATAAAGTGCTGGAAAAAAGCCAAGGGATCATCATTGCTGCTACATTCTGAAAAAAATGCACTTTCCTCAATATTGACAACTTTCTATTATATTCTGAGGTATATTTGATGTTTAAAAGTATTCATCATCTTGCACCCACTCCAGGGAGAGCAGAGCTGGTAGGACTGGAACACTTACTAGAGGTGATTGGGTACCGCAATTCAGAAAGACAGTGTTTGATCAATCTGTATTCTCAGTAGCAGTGGGGAGGTGAAATTCCACACCCAGAAACAGAGACTCAGGAAGCTTTGCAGTGTTTAAAACCAGCCTTGGGCTTCAGCCACTGTCAGCAATAAAGTGCAACTACATTAAATGTATATTATAGTGCACTGTTCGTGGGAAAACATACAATAAAATGAAATGAAAAATCACCAGGAATTAGTGGTGATAACAAGAAAAAAACTGCTGAATGAAGAAAATCAAATACACCAAGTGATGACTTTATAACTTTTGCCCACTTAATTTTTTTTCACTCTTGACACTATTGTCTAAATGTGTACATTTTATGGAGGACGAATTTGGAAAGTGGCCATCCAAAATGTGGCTGTTTTAAAAGCACACAGGGTGTGTAGAATTGCACTTTCATTTACACAGAATAATAGTGCTACATTTCTGGTTTTGCATGTTAAAGTTATCAGGTGAAAGGTATTCCATAAAGTGATGTGAGGAAAGTGTTATTTGTTATGTTCATCTGGAAGTGCTTTACTCTATTTCTGACAGAAATTATACTTTACTCAGCTGTATTTTTAAAGTTGGAATGACACACTTGAACTTGGACAAACCATAACTATCACTTTTTAAATAAAACATAAATCCTCCTGTGTACATGGAGTCTTTGAATGCATCACTAGTTACCACCTCTAACGCTGATTAGCTTATCTGGGCTTTAATTTCTCAAAGAGGGCTGCACAATAATATTACCTACGTTTAAAGATGTTAGCAGCTATCAGTGATTACAAATAAGCAGGTTTCAGCCTGAGCCCTGCCTGTTTGTGTGTTTGCCTCTGCTGCTTTCTGCACAAACACACAGTCAGCAGCATCTCAGCAGTAAACACAGACAGAGGTGAAGCCACGGTCAGACTTTCCGACAGCCACACTGACTTTCAACATGAACGAGTTCGCTAAAACGTCTTATTTATCACGACACAAAGACTAAATACAAAGAAATATAGAAAATCTATGAATTATTCAGAAAGCTGGCTGAATAAGGCCCGTGTTTATCCCCGGCTGATGTGCTGTGAGCCGGGGCTAGTCAGCTAGCAGCTAGCGTTAGCATCTCTCCATCCTCCATTAATGTCATTTTACAACGAAATAAAACTGCTCACTCACTCAAGTCGCAAACATCACGTCTTACTGGAGCTGTACTAGTGATGTTTAATGGTTAAACTGGCGCCACAAACAAGCTGAGAAACAGAAAGCGACACTCACCTTACTGTGTTTACCATTATGTCATTTCAGAGTCCGTCAGCGAAAAAACTCCTTCGAGGGCAACTGAGGCCACAAGATGAAGGTTCCGCCTCACGTTGGAACGTTACTCACTACAGTGTGGCGCAGTGGCAGCGTTAGGTTACAGGTAAACCTCATCACTGCTCAGGACAGAAACTTTAAATGCTGCAGAATCAAACTGAAATCGAGTTCGCTTTTTATAGCAATGTCAAAACAACCTGTGTTGAGCAACTTGCTGCACGTGTCATAAAAAAAACAAAACAAAAAAAAAACTGTACCTCAGCATACTTTACAACAGAAACTTTATTCAAAGATTAAATTGGTCACAAGCCTTTGAATGTTCTTTGTCTAAATCCCTGTTTTGATGTCTTACAGATTTTATACAGTCGCAGTTCAAGTTCTATGAATTTTTGTAAGATTCAGATTTTTCTTTAAGTTGGACTTTTTATACATAAAAATGTAGCCTTTTTTGTCTTCTTTTATCCAGAGTGAGTCTTATTGATGTAGGACTTGTGTTGTTGTTTTATTTTTGTTTTTTTATGTTTCAGAGCACAGAAAGTGCCGCCCATGAAAACACATCAGGTTCTTCAAAACAAGATTGTGCTTCATACAGAGAAAGAATTATTTCAAAACGACATATAGTTTTTGAATTGTGACCATTGTTCAAGGGTCTAATCTTTAGTCTGTCTGTTTCTCTCTCTGCAACCAAACTCTGTATCTTCATTAAACGGTGGGAATCACCATAGCAACCAGTGATTGACAGGTGATTGGCTGACTGATAATGGACGAAAAGAACCATTTTGAAGCTCCAGAACTCTGGTCCACTTGGATCAGAATCTACCAATATTTGTGTTGTTGTGGTACAACTTACGCAATCAGTTTAAAAGTTCAAAGGAAATAACAGATTTTTTATTTTTATGATCAAGTATTTCACACCAGAAGTATTCAACATATTTTGTTTTGCATTATTGTAAGATGCAGCAACATATGGATCAGAACATTTCACTAGCTGATTTTTATATTGTTATTATTTTTTTGTTAATGTGTCTTCAAAGATGGGGACATGTCATGACAGTGCTATGCACATTAACTCAGAAGGAAGAATTCAAGAGAGTAATAAAGTATTTTTAATTAAAATATCTGAAGCAATTATCACAGTGTGAAATATTCTGATTGAAGCAACCAAACAATAAGATAGAGATGCGGTTGACAAAAATCCATATCACATGATGTTATATAAGTTTCAATGTTTTTTTAATATAAAAATAATATCTCTACAATTCACACAATATATACAATTAACAAAGAAACGAAGGAATAAAAAAGAAAGAAATAAAGAAATAAAGAAAGAAAGAAAGAAAGAAAGAAAGAAAGAAAGAAAGAAAGAAAGTGTCACAACTGGATAGCCGCAGGAAAAACGTGTGTGTGGAACCCAGAACGAGAGGGAGGCGGGAATAAAGGAAAACAGTTTTATTTGGGAATCCGGGGAGTGACAGGGGCACCAGGAGGCAGGTAAGGAATCCGGGGTCCAGGGTGTAAGGGGAAAGCCACAGGTGATACCTAAAGGATGAACTAAAGAACAAACTAATAACTAAAAACTAACTGAAGAACAAACTAAATAATTAGAAACTAACTAAATAGTTAACTAAAGAACGAACTAAAGACTTAACTACAGCAAGAACTAAATAATTAACTAAAGAATTAACTAAAGAATTAACTAAAGAATTAAATAAAGGACTAACAAAAGAACAAACTAAATAGAAAAGAAAAGAAACAGAATAATGGCATGGTGGGCAAGGGTGGCTGTCGTCTTTCTGACCTACAGAGGATAAAGAAATAGTTGTTAATAGAGAACATTCCTGCTTGCACA